ACTATTTTTTAAAATTGAATAGAAGTATATATAATAAATATAAAAAATTATAATACAATAAATACAATTAAATTTAACCGTGTATAACTCGGCCATCCGCTAATATTATAAATAAAAAAAGCACATATGCAAGAGCACATATAGATACTTTCATTTAAAATTTTAAATACATTTATCTAAACAAAACGCATACTAAGTAAAAAAAAGGTAATGATTATATTCTACTGTAGTATATTAGTATTATTTAATAAATTTATTAAACTAATAATATAATATTATTTTAAATAGTAAATGTTACATAACCAAACATAACATATATAACGTAACAATAACACACAAACCTTCTATTTAAATAACACATAGTACAAATAAAAAAATTACATATATAATGTAATAATAGCACATACAAGCTCCTAATTTAAATATAAAAATATATTATTATAAACAAAACAACAATGCTTAATAGATAAAAATATATATTCATGAAAACAAAAAAACACACACAAACTTTCATTTAAATTTTTCAAATATACTTATCTAAACAAAATAACAGAGTATAAGTAAAAAATTACAAAAATAAATATAAAAAAAATAGAACAGATATTTTTAAAAAAAATATATATATATATAATAAAAATATATAAACTCTAAAATAATATGAGACAAATTACTTTTAGTAAACGAAAATCAATATATTTTTACAACGATTCAATAATTTTATTAAAATAATAATATTTTATTTAATATAAATAATTAAATAGCACATATTATAAGTAAACAAATTACACACATAATATAATAAAAGCACACACATAAATTTTTTATTTAATCAAATAAAAAGCACACAAATATTTTTCATATAGCATAGAGCAACATATTAAATTATTTAAACATAATAAAATTATTATTATACCATATTAAAAGTGGACCGTCAAATTTAATAACTTCTAAATCTAATAATTTATATTAAATTAGTATGGTGATTATCAAAATTAAGTCAGTACAATAGATAATGACTACAAAACTTTTTTAATATACTTTTCTTGAGAAACCCATAGCCGTCTTGCTTCTCTATCACGCATGATCTTCATATACAATATTTTCTTTGCCGCACCCAAATTCTTCATCTCAAACTCACCCTTTAGTAGAACCTTCAAGTAATTAATTACAGTCATGTTTTTAGCTGCAATTAACGTATCATCCACATACAACAACAGATACACAAAGGAATCACTATAAAATTTTTTCGAGTAAACACAGTTATCAAATTGATTACGAGTATAACCATTAGACATCATAAAAAAAATAAAATCTCTTGTACCACTGCCTTGGAGACTGCTTCAAGCCATATAGAGATTTTTTAACAAGCATACTTGATTCCTTTTAGAACTGTGGAACCCTTCCGGTTGAGACATACAAATCTGTTATTCTAGATTACCATGGAGAAATGTTGTTTTTACATCAAGCTGCTAGAGTTCCAGATCAAAAGCACCCACCATTGCCAAAAAAACCCAGATGGTTTTGTGTTTCATCATAGGAGAAAAGACTTCATGGTAATCGATTCATTCATTCTGTGAGAATCCTTTTGCCACTAGTCTTGCCTTGAACCTAGCAGGTTCAACACCAGAAATTCTCTCATTTTTTTTAAAGACCCACTTGCAACCCATTGGCTTCACCCCTTTTAGTAGTGCAACGAGATCCCAAGTCTTGTTTTTTTTTTCAAGAGACTGCATCTCTTAATTCATTAGTCATTACTATAATCCAATTTTCTGCATCCTTATTCGCCACAACTTCTTTATATATTTTTGGCTCATCAGAGCCAAGATCATCACCAAGTACCAATGCATAAGCCATAAAATTCATGTCACATGTATTGACACATCCTGCAAACTTAGTTGGTTTTTGAATATTTCTCATTCCCTTTCTAGCTGTTATGGAATCTTCAACCCCAGTACCGGTGTCATCAGTTTCCTGCTCAATCGGTTTCCCTTGAGGTTTTGACTGATCTGGTTGATCGGATTGATCAATAGTATTATCCTGCTGCTCTTCCTTTAACACAACTCTTTCAGGAGTCTCAAACTCCACCTTCTGGTCAACATCACAATCTTTTGTATCTGCAATACTTTCATAACCTCTACTCTGATCAAACATAGCAGATTCGTCAAATGTTACATCTCGGCTAAGAAGAAATTTACCAGGGATTTTACCTTCTATACACCATAGTCGATAACCTTTGACTCCTGTTGCATACCCTAGAAATATGCATTTTACCACCATCAGCTCCAACTTACCATCATTCACATGTGCGCATGTAGGGTATCCAAATATTCGTAGATTAGAGTAATCATTGGGTTTACCGGACTATACCTGTTGAGGAGTCTTTAAGTCAATTGCAGTTGATGAAGATCTATTAACCAGATAGCTAGCAGTGTTAACTGCTTCTGCCCAAAATTGCTCAGATAAGCCAACAAATATGTGCATACACCTAGCACGTGCCATAAGGGTTTGGTTCATACGCCCTGCAACCCCATTTTGTTGTGGTGTGTGTCGTACAGTGGGTGCCTGCCTCACTATACCTTCTTTCTTGCAGAAATCATCAAATGAAGCGCTGCAGAACTCCAACCTATTATCAGTTCTTAGAGTCTTGACATGTTTACCCGTCCGTTTTTCAATCATAGTCTTCCACTCCTTGAACTTTCCAAACACCTCATCTTTAGTCTTCAGAAAGTAAAACTAAATTTTTTTTGAATAATCATTTATGAAAGTGACAAAGTAAGAACAACCGCCCTCTGATTTCACCAGAGAGGGATCCTATAAATCTGAATGAAAATACTCCAGAATTTCTTTTGAAGTGTGATGACCGGTACTAAAACCTCATCCTATGTTGCTTTCCTTTTACACAAGCCTCACATAATTAAATTTTACATGTCATATCCTCACCAAATAAACCCTGCTTGCTCAGCGCAGACAACCCTACTCACTCATGTGACCCAATCGACGGTGCCACAAATTTGTCATGTCATCATGTTTATCCAAGGACTGGGATACCGCTACCGTTCCCATCACTGAACTGCCTTGCAGAAAATAAATTTCATACTGCAGTTTTTCCTTCATCATCACCAGAGCATCTTTCAAGACTTTCATCCACTCACCTTCACCATGATATTTTAAACCATTCTTGGCTAAGGTGCCAAGAAAAATCAAATTCTTTATGATTTCAGGAACATACCAGCAGTCAAATATCCTAACAGTACTGTCATGCAATTTTATGTGCACTATCCCGCTCCCATTTATGGCTAGAACTCCATCATCACCCTACTTCACCATTCCATTCCATTCATTGAAATAAGTGAGTAGATCATGAGAGAACGTCATATGGTGAGAAGCACCGATATCCATAATCCAGGTATCAGCACTTTACCAAGGTCCCTATCATTAGGGTTGTCTTATACCATAGCAACACTACCATTGTTATTAACTCAATTTTTGTATTTTCCTTCTTATGTGGGCAATCCCTTTTAATGTGCCCCTTCTCCTTGCAAAGATAACGCTTGACTTTACTAGAGGATTTTGATTTTGGGCGCGACCTCTCCTTCCCATTACCCCTCTCATGTGGTCTTCCTCTACCTGAAAATAGACCTGAACTAGATGCCTCTTCCATAAAAACTTTTATTTTCAATTATTTGGATATAAGGGCATCTTTCACATTATTAACAGAAATTGTAGTTCTATCATCTAGCATAGTATCTACAAAATTTTCATATGAACCAGGTAGTGAACACAGTAAAATTAGGGTTTGATCTCATCATCTATTTTAACCTCAACCCCTTAAAGATCAAGAATAATACGGTTAAAGGTATCAAGATGATCCTTTACCTGAGTACTTTCGAACATCCGGAGGGTGTAAAGTCGTTGCTTATGATATAGCCTGTTTGTGAGAGAGTTGTTCTAGTACTTCTCATACAGTTTATCCCATAGCCCAAAAGCCGTTGTCTGATCTAAAACCTCTTGTAACACCTCATCAGTAACTGACAACAAGATCACAGAATGAGCCTTTGCCAAAATCTTATTCTTCACTTCCTCTTTCGTGTCTTTAGAAAACTTGTCTTCTTCTTCGAACGCAACCGCACATCCCTGTTAAGCCAGAAGTGCCCTCATCTTGATCTTTCAGAGCGTGAAGTCATTCGACCCATTAAACTTCTCTAGATCAAACTTATACGAGGACATCTTCAATCAATTAGATATGACTCTGATATCACTTGTTATGAGAAGAAAAGAAAGAAAACAAATAAAGCAGACATAGATTTTACTTGGTTTGGTGACGGTAGGTCAACCCACGTCCACGGACAGAAAACGAAGAGATTTTATTATACTGATTCAGAGAGTTACAATTATTGTCCTACGGATAGAAACCATAGCTATCTATTTATAAATATCCCAAAACACCCTAAACCCTAAGCTTATTTGTTATTAATTAGAATGAGCCGAAAAGGAACTCTGCCAATTAGAATAAAGCAGACATAGATTTTACTTGGTTTGGTGACGGTAGGTCAACCTACGTCCACGGGCAGAAAACGAAGAGATTTTATTATACTGATTCAGAGAGTTACAATTATTGTCCTACGGGTAGAAACCATAGCTATCTATTTATAAATATCCCAAAACACCCTAAACCCTAAACTTATTTGTTATTAATTAGAATGAGCCGAAAAGGAACTCTGCCAATTAAAACAATATTTTTGCTTTAGTTCCGAGTTGGGTAGACCGCTAAATACAAGTCACGTTTCAACAATACTAAATTTTCCTACTTAGAATTTGTTTGTGGGGTTTTGACTTTGAATTTTAATTTTAAATAGTAAAAATCTTAAATTGAAATATTTGTTTGATGTGATATAAATATAATTTGATATAATATTTTAAATATAAAATTAAATTTTAGTATACTATAATAAATTAAAAATATATATATTTAATTGGATATGTTAAAAAGGAAATACGTTTTCAAATAGTAAAATTATAGTAAAAATCTTAGAAACAAAGACACCCTATCAAATTCTAATGTAAAACAAAAAAAAATTACGTGTCGAAAGAAGTATGAACAAATAACATCACATAACATGAATAGTTAACTGCTAATAAAAAGTTTGCGGTTTGAATTGGATCATCTTAAAACACCAATGAGTGTTTGTGTGTGTAAGTTGTTTTTTGTCAAGAAAATCAAGAATTGATGCTGCTGTTTGATCTTCATCCTTCATCCTCAGCAGCTGCTTTCTCATCCCTCGTCGTCGTCGCCGTCGCTGTCTCCGTCGGGTCTTGTCCCATTTCAGAAGTCGTCGGTTCAATCCCTTCCTTGTGCGGCTTCATATTCTCCTCCGCGCATTCGATGCTCAGCAGAACTTCCGGGAGTGTAAGGCCGTTGTTCTCGATATCGATCTTCTCTTTGGAGCTGCTATTTGCGACGCTCTCCATGAGGCTGTGCTGATCCGAGCCATCCAAAGCTGTGATTTCATCTTCTTCGACGAATGCGCGAAAATCGTGCATGGAAGGAGGGATCTTCGCGAAGAAGACTTCTAGAAAGTTGTTGAGCATCCCGTTGTTGTACGGGTTCTCCTCTTTGTCGTAACGGTACCTAAAATTCTCGTATGTTGTCTGTACGCACAAGCATGAGAAAAAGTAGATGAAAAATTAATGAACAAGGTTGTTTGTGGAATATCTAAAAAAGGAATTATGTACAATGTACCTGATTTGTGCTGATAAGATAGAAATGGAAAATCGAAAGGCCGCCGACGAACCAGACGATGATGAAACAGTACACGATTAGAAAATCGGAGAGAATGTCGGTTTTCAAGGCTCTCAAAACGCTGACTTTGGGTCGAATAATGTTGATCCACGACACGATGAATACGTACAGACACAAGACCGTCGATGTTGCAATGAACAGGTAGAAGTACCTGTAGTTTCGCTGCACGAAAATATCACAAAGGATTCGGTTTCAAGACAACAACAGATAGTTCATTGTCTAGACAACAAAATGGAGTGTTTTTAGGACAAAATAAGACTCCCGTTGATACTCACTATACCGATGCATTGTCCGACCCAAGGGCAGTGATGGTCGAACCTCATGACGCAGTTGTTGCAAATCGAGCAATGAGACGCGCGCGGAGGCCGGTACAACAAACAGGTGTCGCAGAATTTGACTTTCACTGTATGCCCGTTGACAACGACATCCTTTGTCCGGGGAAGTTTAAGCCGAGGCGTTCTCCCATTGACCCATTCCATTGAAAGAGTGTCCATTTCCATGGTTTCATCGCATTCGGGAGGCCTTGTGTTCCTCGGGACAATGCCGGGGTCTCGGCTACATGTAAGAGATAAGAACAAAATGTCCTGTCCCAAAAACATCATGTATTGATCAACAAACTATATTAAGCTACAAGAACAGAAAAATGTAAGAAAAAAGGAAAGATTCGAGACACTGCCTAATAATTCAAAATTTTCAATGAGGCGACCATTCAATAATCAACTCAAGTGAATGGTTAGGATGCCGAATGGGGATAGATAGTACATGAAAATATATCAGACAACAACAGATGTTGTATATATATATGACTGATTAATTATAGTCCACACAGTGACAATATTTCTTTACAACATAAGAATGGCGAATTAAGATTAGTAGACGTACCAAGGCTGTTAGCGCTAGAGCGACGACAAGCACAGCGTACCATGGAGCTGCACTCTGGTTGTGTTTTATTTGTTGGTTGATTATAAATAGCATCTTTATGCAGAAAGCAAGGGCCGGGGCGGCGATAAGGAACACCGATAGGAATAGAGATGAGACATCGGGACCGAATATCAGTCTCCCTCCAAATACAAATATCTGCATCATCAGATTCGAATCATTCCCACTGCCTCTGCCAAGAACCATTTTTACTATATCTATACATCAGACAACAAAACAGAGTGTCCTAGCCCTTTTTTCTATCCCCAAATCGTCTTCTAATCATTACACATTCATTCATTCAATTCCGATAATAATTATTGCACAAGAAAAGATCTCAATACACAAATTACACCACAAAATTAATAAACACATACACATACACAAATGTATATATATATATATATATAGAGAGAGAGAGAGAGAGAGAGATAAGAGAGTGAAATTCTTACATTGCTTCCCCTCCAGACTCGATAAAGCCTCTGTTTCTGTGGTTTTTGTGTCTCCATATCACATGACTTCCTTCAATCCACTAAAACAACGGCAAAAAAACATGATGATATCGATCGAATTAATTTCAGACAACCTTGAAGACGAAGGAAATCAATTAATTAGCTTAAGAAAGTGGTTTTTCAACTCTGATAGATACATACAGATTTGGGGATCAACAGAAAATTCCTGTATCAAATTAAGTTTGACGAAATGGCGAGATGCCATGGAAGAGGAGTGAGAAACAGCCTAGCTAGCTAATTCACAGCTGCCATTGGCCCTCTCTCTCTCTCTCTGCGGATCTTCCGAGGAAGAATATTACTACTTTGTTGTGCCCACAAAACATTCTCCTCTGCTGTGCTGTGTTGTTGATTTTCATTTGGTAACTGTCTGATTCTGTTGCTCCATTATCATTTTTTTAAAAAGCATTTTCAATTATTTATTGAAACAAAGATTAAATCAAAATAAATCTATATAGAATATTACTTCCTCTTTTTGGAAATGAAACTAAATATTTTTTTGTCTATTTTTTAAATAAAACAAAAAAAAAATCCCTTACCATAATGTAAAAATAATTGATATTTGTTTAATATATTATAACAAATATATTTTTAATACTAAATAGATAATAAATATTTTATATGAAAACATATCAAAATAAAAATATAATATTTTATTAAGGGAGGAAAGAACTATTTGAATTATATTAAAATATATGACATTATTCATTATTTATTGATGATAATTTTTTTTTTTAAAAAAATCACTATAAATGTCTATGTCTCTAATAATAGATTAAATTAATTTTAAATATTTTATTATTTTTAAAAGTTTCAAATTTAAAAATTTCTATATGCAATCTTAATTTTTTTTTTAAAAAAAATATTAATTAATCTAATGCTATATACCCTCCAATATTTTTACTTCTTTCTAATTATCTGTGATTAATTTTGTTAATTATTTTACAATTTTACATTCTATTTTGTTATTTAAAATAATTTTATAAACTATTTATTGTCTTCGTACAAATAATAATATACACTTATATTTTTTCTAAGCTTATCATCATACAATTATCTTATTTACTTTCAAGATAGTTTTGTCCCTACATTCTTATAGTACATTACGATGATAGTATCCTATTAATATTTTTTAGTTTTTGTAATAAAATTAAACAGATACATACAAAAAGATGTAAAAATAAGAAGTTAGTTTACCCAATTTTTTATTATTAAAAAATATAATATATACATATACATATCTACCTACAGAAAAAATTAATATAAAAAATTATTTTTTATACTGAGGATTTTCATACCTAATACCTAAAAAATACAAAATGAAGACATCCAATTTATTAGAAAGATAATTTTCTTTTATTTTTTTTTTTATGTCTATAGAAATTTTTAAAATTTGAGATACTTTAAAATAAAAAATAATATTAAAAACTTTATAATAGAAAGATAAAAAAAAATGCTATAATTGAAGAGGCAATCCTATTTTGGTTTTTTTTTTCCAAATAAAACTTTTTTACTATTTATCTCCAATAAAAAGTATATTATTTTTTATCACAAAATATAATATTAAAATATTACTAGGAATAACACAATTTGTCTTTTACATTTATTTGTGTAAATTACTCCATAAATATCATTTAATTTGTATTATAAAAGACTAATAAATATATTTTTGCCATTTTTTTATAATTTGTATTACATGTTGATATAATAATTAATATTCAAATATTTATATAAAAAAAAACCCTAAACTCTAAATTCAAAAAAATCAATGACACTCTTCTTATAAAGGAATATGGTATTTAAACCAAAACTCAAATCATTACTTGACAACTCCATAAATTCCTCTAGGTCTAATAGTAGAAATTTGGGTATATTTTTCAATAATTTTATTTAGCAAGACAAAATTCAAATTATTAAAGTTAATTGATGTATTCAAATTTCTAAAATTTACAGTAAATTCTAAATTTCATCTCTTTAATATTAATCAGGAATTGAATAATTAAGTAATTATAAATATTCTAAATTTTAATTAATTTAAATCTATTCATTTTAAATTTACGTTTAAATCCTTTGATTATTCCAAGTCACATTGTTTGTTGCCCTTTATCCAACGTGCAGGCACATTGTTATTTATTTTAATTATTAATTAATAATATACATGTGTCGTGTTCACAATGAACAATGTAGCGTCACTATAAAACCAAAAAAAAAAAACAGAAAAAACCAAAAAAGTAAAAGTAAAATGAAACTATGAAAACAAATTCAAATAATACTGTAACATAAGTAGTTTCAGTACTACTAATATTTATTTATTTTTTTCGACGAAATTATTATACCAAATGTCTATATATTATTTAAAATAATTTATATATTTTTTTATTTTAACATTTAACATATATTTTGATTTGAAAATATTATGTTAAATATGCGTTTTAAATTTACGTTTGCGTAATTGTTAAAATATGCTTTTCATATTAATATTACTCCCTCCCCTCCGTCCCATTTAATATGGGTGTATTACGGTAAATACGAGAATTTAGGTAAAGTATAATTAGTAAGTAATTAAGAAGTATATTAGTAAAAATAATTATAGATTAAAATTAAGATAAATAAATAGTTTAATTAAAATTAAAAAAATTATAAAATTTAAAATTTAAAATGCGATTAAAGTGCATAATTATATTTTTAAAAATAAAAATAACAAGTTACGTGGGACAGACGAAAATAGAAAATAAGGACAAATTATGTAGGAATTGAGAGAGTATTAATTTGCGTTTATAACTGCCAACACAGCACAGTTCATTTATTGTTAAACACGAATGTGTCAAATCCCATGTCCAAAATTTCCAAGGCATTATTATTATTATTATTATTATTATTATTATTATTATATGAGCTGTATAAGTATAAAAGTTTATAAATATTAATAGTGGTGTGTTTAATAAATTAATATAGAAATATTTTAGAAATATTGGTAATTTTCAATTGATTTGAAAATAAGAAAATTTGAATAGAAAAATATATATTTGATATGTGATAAATAAATCTTCAAATAATATTTTAAATATGATATGAGAAAACGAGAAAAAAAAAAAAAACAAATAAAGAATATATGAGTTTTATGTAGTTACCGAACAGGAGTTTTATGTAGTTCGGTAACGGTGTGTCAACCTACGTCCACAAACAAGAATCAGAGATATTTTATTATACTGATTCAGAGAGTTACCATCATTGTCATACGGTTTGGAATCATAGCTATCTATTGATAAGCACCAAAAAACATCCTAAACCCTAAGTCCATTTGTTATTAATTATGATGGGCCCAAAACAAACACTGCCAATTAAAACAATCTTTTTGCTTTGGTTCCGAGTCGTGTAGACCGCCAAATTCAAGTCACGTTTCAACAGTTTCTCCAATTGCCAATGGTTCCTCAGTATGTCTCTTAGTCGTTTCCATCCTGCCAGATGCCCCTCGGGACTTTACCTCCTGCGAATATTAACCAAGTTCAAGTAGTGCTCGAACTTCTCCGTTGATAGCGCATTTGTCAACATATCAGTTGGATTGTGTTATGTAACTATTTACTGAATATAAAACCTGTCTTCCTTCAGAACAACATGGATAATATTAAACCTTACATCAATATGCTTGGTTCTCTCGTGATACATCGGATTTTTAGCCAAACTCAAAGCACTCCAACTATCACAGAATAACACCGATTTCTCCACCTTCATAACCAAACTCAGCACCATACCATATAACTAGACACCCTCCTTAATACCTTCAGTCATTGACATGTATTCCGCCTCAGTTGTCGACAGTGCAACCGTAGGTTGTAAAGTAGATTTCCAATTGACTGCACATCCAAACAGAACGAAGATAAAACAAGTCAGTGATCTTCGTTTCACCAAGTCACCCCCGTAATTAGAGTCTGCATAGACCAGACCATCGCTATGGCCTTTATCATCGTATACGAGACAAATATCAGATGCTCTTTTCAAATATCGCAAGATCCACTTTACAATTCCCTAGTGAGCTTTACCCGGATTAGCCATAAACCTGCTCAGCACACCAACCGCCAATGCATAAGTCAGAGAATCCATGTCACATGTATTGACACATCCTGCAAACCTAGTTGGTTTATGAATATTTCTCTTTCCATTTCTAGCTGCTATGGAATCTTCAACCCTATTACCAGTGTCATCAACTTCTTCTTCAACCGGTTTTCCTTGAGGTTTTGACTGATTTGGTTGATCGGATTGATCAATAGTATTATCCTGCTGCTTTTTCTCTAACACAACTTTATCAGGAGTCTCAAACTCCACCCTCTGGTCAGCACCACAATCTTTTGTATTTGCAATACTTTCACAACTTCTACTATGATCAAGTATAGCAAATTCATCAAAGGTTACATCTTTGACTCATGTTGTATACCCCAGAAATATGCATTTTACCGCTCTCGACTCCAGCTCACCATCATTTACATAAGCGTATGCAGTGCATCCAAATATTCGTAGGTTAGAGTAATCATTGAATATACCGGACCATACCTCTTGAGGAGTCTTTAAGTCAATTACAGTTGATTGAGATCTATTAACTAGATAGCTAGCAGTGTTAACTGCTTCAACCCAAAATTGCTTAGATAAGTCAACAAATATACGCATATACTAGCACGCGCCATGAGGGTTTGATTCACACGCTCTGCAACCCCATTTTTCTGTGGTGTGTGTCGTACAGTGCGGTGCCTGCCTCACTATACCTACTTTCTTGCAGAAATCATCAAATGGAGCGTTGCAGAACTCCAATCCATTATCAGTTATCAGAGTCTTAACCTGTTTACCCGTCCGCTTTTCAATCATGGTTTTTCACTCCTTGAACTTTTCAAACACCTCATCTTTAGTCTTCATAAAGTAAAACCAGACTTTTCTTGAATAATTATTTATGAAAGTGACAAAGTAAGAACAACCGCCCTTTGATTTCACCAGAGAGAGACCCTATAAATCTGAATGAAGATACTCCAGAATTTCTTTTGAAGTGTGATGACCGGTACTAAAACCTCATCCTACGTTGCTTCCCTTTTACACAAGCCTCACATAATTAAATTTTACATGTCATATCCCCACCAAATAAACCCTGCTTTCTCAGCACAGGCAACCCCTACTCACTCATGTGACCCAATCGATGGTGCTACAAATTTGTTCTGTCATCATGTTTATCCAAGGACTCGGATACCGCCACCATTCCCATAACTGAACTACCATATAGAATATAAATTCCATGTTGCAGTTTTCCCTTCATAATCACCGGAGCACCTTTTAGGACTTTCACCCATTCACA